TTCAGAAATGTGAATAATATTTGTGCTATTTTAATGTAAAGCTTTTTCTGTGCATGTGCAGGGTTTTTTTTCCCTATTTTGAATAAATCTTTCTGCACTATAAGAGAGCCAAACTCTCGTAACGCTTCATTTGCCTCTATACATTGCAAAGGCCCTTCCTTTGCTTAACGGCAGGTTTTTGCTGTTGGCAAGGATGGGCCGATGCTCTTTGTTCAGCTGTTTATTCATGTTGGTTAGCAATTTCCGGGCAATAAAAAAATCTGTACTGAAAGAATGCAGCACATGCTGGAAAAAATTACTTCCTCAGCATCTTCCCATTTCACTATAATGCTTCCCTATAGTGGAAAATATTGCTTGTAGGGTATTTGAAAAAATACTAGCTTAGGGAAGTTAGCGTATACATTTAAATAGATGGCTATTGCTGCAGTTCTCCTCTGCTGCACCTGCATTTCCTGTTCCCTCCAAACCATCAATTTCCAAACAGAAGAAAACACCTAATGTTTTTCTGTATTACACAGGCTGTAAAATGTCACCCGGTTACCCTAAAATTTCCATTAGATTGTAGATATGTTCCAGTAAGAAGCATAATCTTGGGCCCACTGAGATGCGCAGAATCCACAATATACCTTGCTGTTCTCTTTTGCTATGTTAACCAGAAGAACAGCTCATGATGTGGTTTATATTCATGGAGTTTTAAACTTCAAGCTGTTTTTTTTCCTGTGTGCTTCTCTCAAAGATGCTCTTCAAAAACTCTCTTCAGATATCCTGACCATGGTAAACCAGCATAGGGATAAATAACGTTCCCTCTGAACTATTTCTGAGAAATGAACCTGTGTTGATCTGACACTGGTATTGGTAAATGCTGCAGTTTTTATTATTTGCCCAGGTAAATTTGGGGTTGTCTGGAACCTGCTCCCACACCTTTCTCTGTGGGCAAGGCTCTAAGTAAAAGCAGGTGTGCAGGAGTTCGTAATTTTGATGCTTTTGGAATTTTATCCAGGTTATTCATCAATCACCACAATCATTTCTATAGCTTCACCATTGCCAGAAATCATTTTAAAACTCTTGGCAATTAGCTGAAATAAATAGGTTTACTGGGATAAACAGATTTGAAGCACCCCTTGGCCGCTCACTGGTGAGTGTTTTATCCCACTGGTGGAGAGGAAGGGGTAGTAGGAAGGAGGTAACCTCCTCCCACCCCCACTTTCACCAGTGAAAAACTCATACTGGGGTAGGCTTCCAGTGGTCCACTCAGTTGCTTCCATCCCTGAGGCTGCAGCTCATGGTTGATATTCGTGTCAGTGCTGCAGGAGCACAGGATGCTTCTCAGGCTTCCCTGTGTCATTTCAGAACCTCCCCGGCCACCATAACGCAGCATCATTGAGCAGCTGCACAAAACCCTCGTTTGAAGGGGGTGGGGATGGAAGAGAAATAGTTCTGAATTATCTGGTTGAAAATTCAACGATTTCAATACATTTATCACATCTTAAATAATTTATGTCTTGACAGGCCTTACCAATTTTGCAAAGCACACACATTAACCAGATAGATACAATGATCTCATATTAGCTTTTTCAGCATCTTACACTGCAGCCCAGAAAGATTAATAAAACCTCAGCCCATCATCAATTAAATGGAAAAACGTAAAATTATGTTCCATTATAGCCCCCCCCTTTTTTTTTTTTGGCAAGAAAATGATGATGGGTTCTAATAATTCATCACAACAAGCTGAGCTTGAACTTTACTGATTATTAAATACGTTTTTCCCAAAGGCAGAGGCCATGATGGGTTTTATGGCAGCAGATGTGATCACTGTCAGGAATGCTTCAAGGAATTCAGGAATTAAGCATCTTTTTTCCGCAGGACTGTATAGAAGAGCCACATTTGTTCCATCTAGTCACAGACTTATTTTTCAGGGTGGTATAAGCCCATGTGCTTTCATAATTGTCAGGTGGATTAGCTTGCATTTATCATTACAGCTTTTGCTAGGAATGAAAGCTGTGAATTAACAACTTAAGCTGCCACGCAGAAACATCCTTAAGGATGCCTCAATCTTCAGCTGCCTAAACACATGCTCAGGTTTTTGCTTGTAAATTTTTGATTTTTAATCTGTCCTTCCAAATACTCTGCTGGGAAGCTTTTGGATCCTCCTTGAGAAAACAAAGCTGCACAGGCTGGCTTGCCCCAGGAAGCAAGATTTTGCTTTGCACTGAATCAAAAATCTTTTATTTCCAGACAGGTTCTGGAATTTGCACTGGTTTCTCCTCCTCCTGCCTTTGCAACCAGCTACAGCTCCCAGACAACTAGCCTCTGTGCCGTGAAGGGCTAGTTCACACTGCCAACAAAAAGCTGCATCAAGTGAAAACTGAGTGTGTAGTCTGCTTTGTACCCAGCATGTAACATCCTGCCATGGATTGCGGTTTGTGTTTCTTCTCAGAAGGTGTATTTTAAATTACGTAAGTACAGAGGAGTTGATAGAAGCTGCTTACTAGAAACTGGCCTTCTAAGTTAAGAAGTGTACGTGAGCACCTGCGAGCGGTGCAACCCAGGTTCCAGTGATGCTCACTACCTGTGTGGCAGCTGGTCTGACCCATGAGGAGCCCATGAGCCATTATGTAGCATTTAATTCACTGAGCACTGAGCTGGTGGGAAGGAATCGAGTGAGCAGGGATTTCCTTCTGTCAATTTTCAGAAACAAAAGAAATTACAGAAGACAGCTGGAGGTTGAGAGCGGGCTCTTTGTGCTCCATGTGGC